AAAAAAAAAAAGCAAATTTTAAAATCCATACCTTGACACTCTTAGCATTTGATTCTGGACTTGATTCTACTGCAATAAAAGATCCTTCCAAAGAACTTTCACTCGAACTATCAGATTTAGCAAATTCATCAAACGAAGTTACAGTTATAGAATCTTCACCTCCAATCGTTATGATAATTTCCTTACGTAATTCTTCATAAGACAACTAAAAAATTTTGATTTTTTTTTAATATTACGAAATAAGAAAAAAAAAAGGTCTTCCTATTTTAAAAAACTAAAGAAACTTACGTTTAAATTATAAATGCTAAATAACGCATATTGTTCAGTTTCTCCATTATTATTCTCAACATAATGAAATAAGTCATTATAAAAAATAATTGGTTTAATATTTCTTGCAGGACTACGAGTCGTCATTTAAAACTCTATATAAAAAGAAAAAAAAAAAATAAAAAAAAATAAAGTTTATGATGATTATGATGATTGAAAAAGATAAAAAGATAAGATACCTCAGTAATACCAGTTTATAGGATTACACGAATCGATCATATGATTATGATTATGGGAATTATTATAGCTGCGGTAATAAACATTTCCTCATGATTGCATATTGCATCACCCGACCAAGTTTTTTTCATGATGTTAACACGTAATAAACACAATATTTAATCTTTAACGAAACATCAAGTATGGATAAAACCCTTTAATTTCAAACATATTTTTTTTTTTCTATAATATAGTTTCATTTTAACGATTTTGACAAATTTTGTAAAACCATTCGATGATGGATCTAATAATTATATCACGAAAAAAGGTTTGAAAGAACAAACAAAACAAAAGTTATGAAACGCGTATCGGAAATAAAAAGGTAAGAAAATTATTCTGACTGCGGTAAAAAAAAAATTAATGATATATAACTAAATTCAGTAACAATGTAATTATCTTATCAATGCCATATTAATTCAATTATACAATTGAAATTTTTTTTGTCACTGTATCACTCAATATTAATTATTAAACTTTAAAATAATTCAGCTATTATTACTATTATTCATTATTTATTCCGTACCGTTATTTGAAATTTTTTTTTCTGTAATACAATGTAGTACTATGCTGACCTTCAACATCAGGTGAGAAAGAAAAAAATCGATTTTCCGAATTTTTTTTACATGACTTCTCATTTATAGGCATACATACACACAATAACAAGGTTTCTCTTTTTTTGGATTTAAAAGTAAATATATATTTATTTACTGTTACAAAGAAATCAGATGAAATTAGATGAAATTAACCTTTATATTTTGCACAGACGAAGATAAGAATGTTTTTTTTGAGATTATCTTTAATAAAAATGAAATGTTTATTTAATGCATCCATATTCTTAAAAAGTATTGACTATGAAGTTTAAAAATTTTAAAATTTTTTAAAAAAAAACGCGAATATCAAAAGAAGTAAAAAAGAGTTATTCTTAAATGATGATGACAGATGATTTTCGAACAATAGCAAGATCTGAAACACTTTAATCTCATTGAAAACAATATATAGAAATTCCCCCGCGTGCTACTAAAAAACCAAAGATTGTTTATCATCCCATATTAAATTTTAACCTTTTATAATGGGAATTTTTTTATTTTTTTTTATTTTAAAAAAAATAAAAAATCTTATAAACATTTTAAGAAAGAATCTCATTTGATCTTTATCTTTTATTCTCTGGCTAAAAAATACTAAATATGGCAAAAATTATTAAAAAAAGCACGGGAATTTGCGGAAAATGCCTAATTAACATGGTACATTTAAAAACAATCTTACATATGTCTTATGACGATTAATTTGTTGAAACCTGAAACAGGGGAAATTTTTTACTACTTTAACCCTTAATTTACTACTAAACTAGTTTGACCCTCGTTTCCTTAGTTTCAATGAACCACAAATTACTATTAAGTCACAAAGGGATAGCTTATGTTCAAATGTATTAAGTGGCGCAGTAACGATAAGCTTTACTTTTGTGCCATATAAAAAAAGTTTGTTTTTTTATGATTTCCTGTTTCGGAAATTAACATTATAACAAAAAAAAAAAAGCCTATAACTAGAGAACAATTCTATGTATATGTGGATATTGTTTATTTTATTATCCTAGCTTAGCAATCAAATGAATATATTTATTTATGCACTAAAATGAATTTTATTATATTTGAAAATTTATAAAAAAAAACCAAACTTAGACAAATCCTTATAAAAATAAAAAAAAAATTGGATCGTCCGCGCTGTTACTTTTAAAATTTTTTCTTTTTAAATTTTCTTCAAAAAAACAAAAAAAATAAAAAATAAATAAATAAATAAATAAAAATGAAAAGATTTTCTTCACCACTTACTTACAATTTTCAAAGTGGTATATTTGATATTGATAGGTTTCTTGATGAAACAAAATCAAAATCAAATAATAATAATTCTTCAACTACAATATCCGATAATAATAATAATAATAATAAATCATCTTTAAAATGGATTCCATATAATGAATTTAGTAATATTAAAGAAATTGGTAAAGGAGGATTTGGTGTTGTTTATGAAGCTATTTGGCATGACGCACCTGAACAGAAAATTGATCTAATTTGGAATAAGAAAAGAGTAGCTTTAAAAGTTTTACGTTATTCTACTAACGATGATCAAAGTACAGATTTCTTGAACGAGGTAAACTTAATATATATATATATTTCCTTTATAATTTCTTTATTTTCTTTATTTTCTTTATCTCATTTTCTTTTTCTATCATTTCATAATGTAATTTTAGCTGAAATTACATTATCGATGTATGGATTCAGGGAGGGTTCTTCCATGTTATGGAATAAGTCAAGAACCTCAAACAAATAATTATATATTAGTAATGCAATATGCAAGCGAAGGAAATTTAAGAAATTATCTTTCAACTTCTTTTGCAAGATTTGATTGGTGGAAAAAAGTAAATATGCTTCGTGATATCGTAATTGGTCTTCAATCTATTCATAACGAGGGTTTAGTTCATCACGATTTTCATAGTGGTAATATATTGCGTCATGGCTACGGCAATGATAGTAATAATTTAGATACTTATATATCAGATCTTGGATTATGTCACCCTGTAGATAAAAATCATACTAAATCAAAGGTTATTGGAGTTTTACCTTATTTAGCTCCTGAAGTTTTACGTGGTGAAAAATATACAAAAGCTGCTGATATTTATAGTCTTGGTATTATAATGTGGGAAATTACTACGAGTGATAAACCATTTTATGATCGTTCTCACGATAATCGATTGGCGATTGAAATTTGTTTAGGATTAAGACCAAAACTTATGCCCGGAACTCCTGAATGTTATGCTCAAGTAATGCAAAAATGTTGGAATGCAGACCCTTTGTCACGTCCAACCGCAGAAGAATTATTTGTAATGTTAAAACAATTTAAAGAAATATCAAATTATAGGACACAAATTGGTGAAGCAGAATTAATTCGTTTTGGTGTTATTGAAAATATTTTATCAACGAAAAGTCATAAATCGATACATCCTGAAGCTATTTATTCAAGTCGTTTATTAGAATTTTCTGATCTTCCTCAACCAAAAAATGCCGATCCTGTTTCAATTCCAACACCAAATGCTTATCGTCCAGGTAAGGTAAAATATATGTTTTTGTTTTCAATTTACAATTTATTTACCTTTTATTTATTTTACTTCAGTTCGACGTCGTGCAAATAGTGTAACATTTCATAATCGTCGTCCCAATAACAAACAAACAAATAGACGAAGTGTTCAAATTCAATCCGTATCGAGTACTTTTAACGAAAGACGGCATAGTAGATCATTTAGTAGTGACGAAGTTGCAGAAAGTGAGTAAATTTCAAATAAAATAAACAAAAATCTATATTGTAATTTTATCGTAGTAACAATATAATAATATATTATAATTATAAATTTAAATTTAGGTATGCGACGATTAAGTCTATCATTAGGACCTTCAAAAGGTATATATATATATATATAGTATTAATCCTTTTTTATTTTTACGATTAAAACTAATCGTTTAATTGTTTATCAATTAATTAGATTTAAATGCGATAAATGAGGAACTTTTCGAAGATTAATAATTAATTTTCCCCCCGTTTCAATTACAAATTTTCCACTTAATCTAAAAATATCTCCCTCCACCTTGTATAAATTATTTCTCATTCTTTGTCTATAATTCATTCTTAATAATGTATTATGTAAAAAAAAAAGTATTTATTATTCAATATTATTTAATTTTTTTTTTGGTTTTTTTTTTGTAAAATGTTTAATAAAAAATTTTTAATTAATTACCGTGTGTACTACGGGTTTTTTTTCATCCTTGCAATAGTGTTGGTGATTATTATGTATAATGTATAGCCGTGTAGCCGTTATGTTTCGGGTTAAATTAAGGAGTTAAACTGTTATCCCGAATGATCTGCAGCTCTACAACATGATTAATCAATGAGTTTACGCTATAAGCTAATCCTTTTTAAAGAAAAAAATCATCAAAAAAAATGTTTTAAAAGAAATGCTTTTTGACTTTTCCCACAATAATATCATTTTCCAAAACAAATATAATATAAAATTATTTTATACTGAAACAATGTCGCGAGATCAAAAAATCACAAAATATCCATTGTATCCGTTGTATCCGTTTCCAAAGAATGATTTAGAATTAGAACAAGATGCTAAATGTTCAAAACTTTTACATGAATTAATGAAAAAAGTTTGGGGTGGTAATTTTGTTTCTCCTATTGAACAAGAATTAAAGAATAAAAAAGATTTTAAAGTATTAGATGTAGGATGTGGTACTACATGCTCGTGGATTTTAGAACTTTCAAAAACATATCCGTTAGCAAAATTTATTGGATTAGATTTGTTAACACCTTTACTTCCTAAAGATTTTTCACAAAATAATTTACAATTTGTTCAAAGTGATATTTTAAAGGGTTTACCTTTCGAAGATGGGTCCATAGATTTTGTACATATGAGATGTCTTACAGCGGCATTCACTGAAAGACAATGGGAAGAAGTTGTTATTAAAGAATTAGTCAGAGTATGTAAACCAGGCGGATGGATAGAATTATTAGAGATTGATGTTGATGGAAAATCACTAGGACCAACATCTAAACGTATCATATCAGCTTGTAAGTTTTTTTACTTCTTCTTTTCATAGTTTTTTTTTTTTTACTCTTTCAAAAAAAATTATTTTTTTTTCCACGCTTAAAAAAAAAAAAGGCATGGCTAAGTTTGAAAATCGAGGAGTTAATGGGTTGATAAGCGAAGAAATCCCTGAATTCTTTGAATCTACAAATCAAGTTGAAATTTATGCGGAAGAAAAATATAGTCCCATCGGGAATTGGGGAGATGAACTTGGAAAATTAGTAAGTTTTTATATTTTATAATAATCTTTTTAAGAGGTTTTTTTATTTAAAAAAAAAATTAACCCTTTTTTTTTTTTTATACAATTAA